GGGTTCATATAAAATCAATAAGGAGGTTTCGATAAGTATTACTCTCTTCATTTCTGAAAAATGGTTAAGTGTGTCATTTTTCCCTTTTATGTTTTAATTATTTTCTAGATTAAATTTTTTATTAATCCATTTTCCTTATACATGCGTATTGAAAATGCAACTATTATCATTTAATAAAAGAGCAAGACCAAGTTTATCACCCTGATAAATAAATTTTGTTTATTAAATAGCATTTTTGTAAATAAATTACATTGAACTTTGTGCTTTTTGATTAAAAAAAATATAAATTTACCATTTATAAGCCATTGTAATAATGTTGACAAAATTTTGTAGTTAACGGTGTTAACTACTGTTCATCACCTTCTCCTCCCACTTTCTTCCTATTCACCTTCTTCTTCCTCTTGTTCTTTTTTCTTCCTCCTACCATCTCTATCTTCTTCCTCCAATCCACACCCACTTTCATTTTTCTTTTCAAGTCGTTCGACTTAGCGAGCACCACTATTTTTGGCGGCTTCACCACCGAAATTCAATGAAAACCCAAATAACGAAGAGAGAAATAAAGGGAATGGTTAACCCTAAAGGGTAGGTGAGTTTCATTCCTCCATTGATTTTGGCTTAGTACCACCATTTTTGACGACGAAGCTTCCATATTAAACGAAAACCTGAATATCGAAGTAATAAATAAAGGGTATGGTAAACGCTAAAGATAGTAAGCTTTCGTTCCTCCATTGATTTCGTCTAGCTCGATGTCATAGTGAAATGCACATTTTCTGCCATTGAAATTGAAGGTTGAAGGAGGAGAGAGAAAATCAAGGGAGAGGGGGAAAGCAACTAACAACAATTAACACTAGTTAGTTGTCAATTATATAAATACCCCTTGATAAAAATTAATTGTTTATCAAGATTATAAATTTGTATTTTCTAATATAAAATATTAACCTCCTCCCACAGCAATTATTCTTGTTCATAAAAATATTTACCTACTCTAGCTGATCACTACGTATATTCCTATTTAAATCTTAGTATTGACGTACTTAATGCTAATGGTTGATATATGTGACATCTAGATAATATATGTTTGAAATTATGACCAATTGACAACATATTTAGCAACGTTGACATGTATAAGTAGATTATAATGACTAAATTAAATGAAGGGTTGAATTAAGAAAAAGTTTTTGAACCAAACATCAAGTTTCACTATGTAAATGTAACGATATATATAACCTAATTGATAATAGATCGGTTACAAGATCGGGTTCGAGTCTTAGATTTTTTGTTTTTGAATTGTGTTGATTTTAACGACTATAAGAGTGTTTGGATTGTAGGAAATGGAGAAAAAGGAAGGGAAGGGAAATGGAGGGAGGAAGTTTCTTTCAATTGGATAAAAAATTAAGGATGAAGGGAATTGGAGGCGAGAGAAATAAAGGGACTAAATTATAGTAAATGTTCCCTCCAACAATTGAGAGATTTGAAAGGAAAACTCATCCTTCTTCTTTCCCCTTCCTTTCCCTTCCCTCCCCTTCACCTCCCCTTCACTTCTCTCCCTTTCTTTTCCTTTCCTTAACATTACCCAAACACACTGTAAATCTATAATACAGAGTACTATTAAAAATGAACCACAATCACAATGCCAAATTAAATAGAAATCCTCGAGGGGTGGGGATGTAAATTACAGCCTCACAATATCAAATACATATGGTAGTGGAAAACACGGTGCAGTGGTACATAAACAGAACTCAATTTAGTTATTGAGTACTAAAAGAGGGAAAAAAAACAGAGAAAAAAAAAGGGTCAGCTTAATGAGTCACGTGCCTGGCATGTGATGGTTAACGTCGGACTCCGGCGTTGACTTGTCTGAAAAATAGCCTTGGTCCCCCTCACCAACCCAAACTGTATTATTTGGTTCTTTTAAACAACCTTTTCTTTAATAAGTCCTTCTGAACAAAAGAGACCATTTAAGTAGTCTTTTGAATACATTTTCCAAAATCTTACAAGTGTGCATGCACATTATCTAAGCTAATGGAGTAATAAAATGGAAACAAGGTCTTCAATGATCGACTTTAAATGGAGGAACGCACGCATTTATAGTTATGGATAACTAAAACATTTATATTCAAAATTGCAATATTAATGATCCCACTTGGATTGCTTATAAATTAAACCTAATTCCATAATTTTTTTTTACGAAAAAATTAAACCTAATTTCTTATTAAAGAGTATGTCATTTAAAAATATTTGGGTTTCATTATATACATTTTGCGGTTGCACAAGAGTTATTAAAGAAATATGAGGTCTTTTTGGTAAGACAACTGGACCAAAAGAGAATTTCTTTACAAAGTATTAAATTATAAATCCTCTCTTTAACTTTGATATATATAAATAGGCAAAATAGCAAATTACATTGCGTTGGGGGCCTCGGGGCCAAACTTTTATTTTATTGAATTAATCAATTAATTTATTTTATTTTTAAGATAGCTATGATATTCTTAGTGTACAACTTGAAAAAGAAAATATAAAATAAGATAAGAAACGAGGTACCTTAGATCGCAGCTTAAAATTTCTAAGTCTATAGATGTAACTTGTGGCGGTGCCAACTTTCCATTTGAAACAATACTCAACAAACCCTAAGTTAGCCTGAAAGAAAGACTTATAATCAAGGTCTAGACCGCGGGCTTTATGCCATCTTCTGCATCCATCCAAGCTTATGGCGACGTGTTTAGGAATGATAAACTCTCCTTGTTGGAGCTTCGCCGTAGAATTCTCATTGATTTCCTATGGTGATTGATTCAAAACTTCACGACTATGTGCATAATTTATTGGTGCAAAGAAGTTGTTTCTGTTTCTCAAATTTTTAACGCGATTTGAGTTGTATATGGGCAAAATTAGGTTGTTTTTTGCTCGTGGTCTAACTAGTATTTTAGAAGATGTCAAAAAAGAGAAGCAATTTACATGGACTAAACGTAACATGTTTCCTCCGAGATTTAGCTCTTTTGCAAGGTAAGTTTATGGTATGGTGTATTGGTGTGGTTTTGTGAACCACTAAAATGATCTATACTTATATTCCCAAGTACTCAAGTAGCTTAAGTAAAATGCCTTTTATGTTAATAAAGTGCTAAGTGTTTTTCCGTCTTTGGATTAAGGGTGATGCTCTATGTAGCCCTCAAGACTATGAATAATTATTTGAGATCTTTTATAATTTGATATTAATTTAGGAATACATGGATAAATCACGCGTAAATCAGTGTAATTAATGTTATATTTTAAATTGTTTTTTTTTTTCCATACATAACTTCTTCTATGTAGCCCTAAAGACTTTGTATACCATTTTCCGTAAATTTATTGCAACAATGTAATTGTTATTGATGAGTGCGTTGTATTTGAATATTGAAAGGTAAAGGTTGCGAGTACATACAAACCTTACCCATAATTCAAATACTACAGTACTTAATATTTTTCCAAGATTTGTAGCATAAAAAGTTACAGAATACCGATGGGCGATGGCGTCATCATCCACTAACTGCAATTCTTATTTGTAAAACACATCTTTCATTGAATTATTAATTTAGAGTTTTAGACACATAAATATCTTCCATATATTTTATTATTTTGGTTGAGTAATTAAACATCCAATAATTGAATTTACATTTAAGGGAAGTAATGGTATATAGCCAAGCAATATAGGTGCTTACATTATAAATGGTATGTGTTTGGATTCAGAATAAAAGTAGGGTAGTATAGAGTTTGTTTGGGGTCCTAATAACTTGTATTTGGGCCTAGTCCACAAATAAAAATAAACAAAGCCCAATAGACAAGGTTCAACTCTCCAGCCCAAGTGCAAAGTCAAGTCAAACGAAGCCCAGTCAAATGGCATCCCATTTGACTCCTCAAGCCCACTCCATTCAATTGGAGCAAGGTATAAAAGCTCATGATCATGCATATTTACATTCATTTACACATATTGCCTCAAGCAACAAACACTCTTGCATAGCTATTCTCTCCTCTTCTTACACTCGTACTGACTTCGACATCGGAGGGGCCTTCCTCGGCACAACTCCCAATGTCAGTTTACGTTTGTTCAGCTGTGCAGGAAATCCTCAATTCAGTCATCACTCGAATTGGGCTTCATTTCCACTAATCCAAATGACCTGCTGAAGGTCTTATTGTTTTTACCGAAACAGAGTTGAAACTAGATTATTCTTTACATGCAGCTTATATTGATACCAAAAGGTGTGGTACGAGTAGTTATATCCACACTTCTCCGTGACTTTATAAACCCTGGTAGATTTGAGGTATGTGTTTAGAATTTGAATTTTTCTTAAACAAATATCATGTATATATGAGTTTTACTCATTCCTAAAACATACGAACCAAATGCTCCAAACAGCATATGTGTGCAAGTACACTACTTCAAACAACCTCTATTATATTCCTTGGATTGATATACTCCCTCTGTGTTTTAATAAGTATTATAATCGGCATATAGTTTTAGGCAATTTAATTGACTCCATTTAAATAAGAAGTAAGTGGAGTAGTTAGAGTATTAAAAAATTATAAAAGAAAGATAGTGGGGTTAATAGTTTATTAAAAAGTAATGGATGTGAGAGGAAAGATATAATAAAACAAGTAGTAGTGGGTTTAGATTAGGACCATGAGAGGAGAGATATATAATATTTAAATGTAGTTTTTTGCCAAAAATGGAAGTATAACATTTATTAAAATACGACCGGATTTAATAAGTGTAACACTTATTAAAACATGGAGGAAGTACCAAAAATAAGAATAAAACAAAGTTAGTAGAACAAAAAGAAAGAATGATCAAAAATAAAAATTGGGTAGAATAAAATAAACGGAGAAAGTACAATTTAACGCAATTCTGATTAGTAAATGAATGTAAAAAATGATTTATCGTGACTCGTCAAGTTATTTAGTTTAAATTTTTTGTAAAATGAATGTTAAAACCGATTGCATTGTAAGTTGATATAATGATAAACTGCATGTATTTAAAAACCAAATTTCATTATTAGATATCGAAAGAGAAGAAAAGGTTACAAATTACTAACAATTCTTAATCACTTTGCGGTGGAAATACTAAGGAAAAACATGACTTAATTTATTCATTGGATTCGGAAATGATCTTGAAACCCATATATGGTTCAGCACACTTTTAAGCAAGAACATCTATCTTAGGACGAAATTTGAAGAGGATTTGCAATGACCATAAGAGGATCTCGCCTGCGAACTGTAAGGCCTGCAAATTCAGTCATATCTAACTCATCACCCTGAATTCCTCCGGGAAGTTTCAAATCAAACTCGTTGATGACAGTCGCGATCACAAGTTCAGCAGAAACCATGCCAAACGATTTCCCTGGACAACCTCTCCTGCCTGCACCAAATGGAATATATTTGAAATCTTGTCCTCTGAAATCATCTGATGAACTGCTGTTCAGAAATCTTTCAGGAAGAAATTTCTCTGGTTCTTCCCAATACATCGAGTCTCTTTGGATTGCCCACGCGTTGACGATCGCCAGGGTACCAGCAGCTATGTCGAAACCATTTATTTTGGCGTCCTGAGTTGACTCATGAAAGACTAACAATGGACCCGGAGCATGTAGCCTAAGTGCTTCCTTCATCACAGCTTTTAGGTAACTCATTTTCTCCAGATCATCCTCACAAACTTTGCGCCCTTTCCCTCCAACAATGTTTCTTACCTCGTCTTGTAGTCGTTTCATAACACTTGGATTTCTAAGCAGCTCGACTACCACCCAATCCATGAGCGTGTAAGTCGTGTCTGTACCAGCCAAAAACATATCCTGCGTAGTTAATAAAAAGTTCAATAAAAAGTTTAAGACGAGAACAACAACAAATCCTTAGTCCCTCAAAATTTCTAAAATGTTTTATAATATAGTAAAATAATCGCGCTTAACAATACATACCAGTATAAGGGCTTTGATGCTGTCAAGTGACATATCATGTTTATTGTTCATATGAACTCCAAGCAAAATATCAACAAAGCCATCGTCGTTTCCCTCACTGTCCGACTCAACAACAACATTTTTCTTAGTGCTTAAATGACTTAGATGTTCTTTTATAACCTTGTCAAGAAATACATCCAAAACTTTTACGACTTTTTCCAATCGACTTTCCAAACCTTTAACTCGATCGATCCACCTAAGGCAAGGTACAAAATCTCCCAAAAATACTGTCCCAAGCAACTTCATGGCTTCATCCAGGCCATCCTTAAAATTGATGCCTTCCTCGTGATTTTGGCTATGTTTTCTTCCAAAGGATGCTCTGTATATCACATCATACGTATATGACAGAACAATTTCAGCAAAATTCACTGCTGAACAACCTGATCTGTTAAACTTTTCAACCATTTCAGCAATCGCTGCTTCTCTTATGGTTCGGAATGATCGAACTTTCTTGTTATTTAACAGCTCCATAACGCATACACCCCTCATTCGTCGCCAATATTCTCCAGAATGAGAAAAGCCCACATCCATCCCGTCGTTAAAGATTCTAATGGCACTTCGCAGCTTAGGCCTGTTATAGAAGATCAAGTCATTAGTCTTCAGGATTTCTTCAGCTGCATCTGCAGAAGATACGACAAGAGCTGGTTTGCTGCCGAAGTAGAGCAGCATAACCTTGCCATATCGTCGAGACAATGATTGAAGAGAACGATGAGGTAAATGACCGAGCTGGTGGAGGTTCCCTAGGATTGGCAGCTTTGGTGGCGAAGGTGGCAGGTTTTTTCCAAATTCACCGGGTTTCGAAGAAAGACTCTTGTAGAACAAAATTACAAAGAGCATCAACGGGAGGAACAAAGGATGAAAAATCAGTTTTCGCGAGAATTGTAAACAAAGACTGACTACTTTTTCCATATGTGTTTGGGTCTGTATTTCTGCAAGAACTAATCAATTACTGACAAACGAAAACAAGAAAGAAGAACAAAAAAAAAAAAAACAGAGAAATTGAAGTTTTCTTATTTACTGAATGAAATACTAGCTGAAATTAGGCGTTGAAATTTATAGAGGAGCCCCAAATTTATAGGAAATTCCCTATTTCTCATATTGAGAAACGAAATTTGTTTTCATAAAGGCATTTTCGTGAATAAATCAATAACTTTTTCATTATTGTGGGCTCAACAATTGAATAAAATTGAACAAAGTTGTTGGTTTATTTACAAAAACGTCTATGTGAGAAACAATTTTTGTTTCTTACTATGAGAAATTAGGGCATTCCTGAAATTTATGGGTGTTTATCTTGTGTTGAAAATTGTGTGAATTGATTAAAATAATGTATTTTTTAAGTTGAGTGCCTGCCACTCTACCAGTTGTCTTCTTCTTCAATTGATTTAGCTAATGGACGTTAACTTGGTTCAAGCTTCATCCTTCATCCTCCATTGAAGCTGACTTCTCCTTCCACCAACACCACCATCTCCGGCGGCTTCACCACCAAATTAAATGAAATCCTATGGAAAAGGGTGAAATTAATGGCATAGTTAATCCTAGAGGGTAGGGGTGACCATGTTCTCCATTGAAGCTCCCATTAAAATTGATTTTGTCCATTAAAGGTCTTCGTTACTCCATCTTCCATTAACGGCACATCAACAAGAGTATCCCGCACAACATTATGTCGATATTTAATACTCACTATACCAGCACACGATACCGCGTGATCACCGAGAAAATCCCCAGTAAAAACCCTTGAACAAGCAGAGCACGGCGACGAGACAAAGAACAATAATGGAACACCCAAGCAGTAGCACAACACACATCGATAAGTCTTTGCGTTCATCGTTTGACCCAACCCCGAAATAAGAACTGCCCGAAGCCAAGCAGAGGAGTGACCTCCCTGCTGCGATTTCCAAAATGCTGATTGGGGAGGAGATAAAGAGAAGGTGGATTCTACAGAATAGGTAATCTATGTGAAATATATATCAGCCGATTTCTTCATGAGGTAGGGGCAGCGACCTCACTAGGATTACTCAAAATGTCAGACTCCACCGTTCTATTGAACAAGCTTAAAGCATTCTTAAAGGCTCGACCAAGGCCAACAAAGTCAGCATGACGTAGAAGCTTTGTTTGCAACCCAACAGACTGTAACCGTGAAGCAAGAAAAACATAATTACGAACATCACTAGTGGAATAAACACCAAGCCCGCTATACGCAAAAGGCAAGGTGGTAAGCCGCCATTGCCAATCGCCAAATCCAGACCCTGAAGCAGCAACGATACGCTCCAAGGAATATCAAAGAGCCTCGTCGAATGTGCGCTAAGCCCTCTCAAAAGTACTAGGGGGACAAGTACGCAACGCAAAGTAGAGTTTAGAAACTCTGGTACAAACCCTAAGCAACAACAGCTCGCACTGAGGATCATCAAGCTTAGCAACCCTATCCATAAGCGCAATGGTCTTGGTCACCCTCTGCATCACAAGCTCACCTCCAAAACCGGAATCGAAACTAGCGGGACCACCAAGCAACTTAACACCACGCAAGGGTCGAGCAATGTTAGGTGGAAAAACACCCACAAGACTGCTTCGAGGATCTTCTGTAGGCTAGAAAACTTCAGTTTTTTCCACGTTAAGATGTAACCCAAAACGAGGCCCTTCCTCCATAATTAGCTGCAGAACCTTCCCCACCACCAACGTGTCACTAATAACAGTGTCGTCATCCAAATACAAAGCCTAAAGATATTCATACATCAAAAGTGTCTCTGATTTTACACACAGGGGTTGTAAAACCAAAGCAAGAAGTAGAGGACCAAGGGGATCCTCCTGCTGCACCTTCTAAGACGACCATAAGGTGTGGTCTCCGTAATACAATCTAGTTGGATTAGAGTAGCAGAATTCAACCCGTCGCGAAAGGCCTGGACAACGACGACGAACTTCGTGTAACATGACCACACGATCAACTAGATTGAAGGCATTTTGAAAATCCACTAACAACATAGAAAGACCAACATTGGAAGCACGATCCTCAATCAACCGATTCACAGCATGAAGAATCGCCTCACCTCCCGAAGAAACCTCAACACCAAATTGGAGACCATCAAAGTAACTTCCTAAAGACTGGCCAACCATTACAGCACCGACCTTCGAAACCAGACGCCGACAAATAGTACCACAGCTATAGGACGAATACCACCACCAGGCTTGACAAGAGGTGTGAGAGGAGCACTAACAATATACTCTCCTTGTTCCATAGGACATCTTCCAACTAGAAAGAGATTAACCACCTCGGAAATAGATTCAACTAACTCATCTAAGACAGCCACAGCAGCACCACTTAAGCAATCCATAAGGTGTTAAGCACGTAAACAGTCCCTACCACAAGATGTGCCATGCGGAAACTCTTAATCCGATCCAAAACTACAGCAGAAGTAGTAACGAGATGAAGATGATCAACAACTATATTAGGCAAGGATGGAGCTGGAGAAGAAGGGTGATTTAACTGTAAATCCGCAAGAGTGGCCTCATTATAAGGAGCAATTCCTAAGGAAGAAAAAACCAGGACTTCAGCGGTGTACTGATCATCGCATATCTTCCTACGACACTACTTGATATTACGCTCTTCCAAATCAAGGTCCTCATCATCAGCGACCGACAAAGTAGGAGAATCCTCTGCCAGAGTTTCCATCACAAGCTGCAAACTACCACCGGGTGCACTCCAAAAACAAATAGCATGGGAAATACTCTCTTCCTTATGCCGACGTTTCACTGTAGATCGAGACTCACGACTACTCCGCGGGCGAAAGGTTTTAAGGGTGAAAAGAGGTAACACCAACAAAGAGATCCAATTAGAAATGTCATCAGGCTTAGAGACCACCTTATCAAGAACACCTTTCAGAACCCGAGAAAACCCCAAACGACACTTGGGAGGAATAGACTTCACAATGCGAAACCCCCTAGAGAACAAACCATCAAGGAGAGCCACATCAAAACCACAATGTTGATCTTACACCAAACCGCCCATGCGCCCAAGCCGAGGTGGAGAAGAGGGAGCTTGTGGCTTGGAGAAACCATAAAGCACAAAACGAACAATAACATCTCCTTCATCCAAGGGTGACACAATCTCACTCGTACTATGACGACACTTAGTACGATGCGTATGCATTTTGTAGCAAACCCCACATAATTAAATCCCCATACGCAAAAAAGTAACATCTGCCTCAGTATAAACAACCAAATTAGAAGTAAAAGAACGTTAGGTGATATCTCGCGTACCGATACAACAATGACGATCACTAAGATGCTTGATTAGAGAACTTCTAGTAAGGTCATTTCCACTCCCATCTTAACAGCCACTTAGACCCACAAAGGGACAATGAAACTTCACAACGGCAGCCGACATAGCTACACACAAACATGCACCACCAAAAACTACCCAAGCAGCAAGAAACACCAACAAAGCTGAAACGAGACATAAACAACCAAATACAACAAACAAACTTACGCTGCAAATAGCCCCCAAATTGACCAGAAAACGTCTTGGAAACTGCCGCCTATACCCCTATAATGTTGCCTGCAAAATGCACCCAAAACACACCAAAAACTCCACCAAACTGGCCAAAAATTGACCAGAAAAACCAATCCACAACAAGACCTAAACCAGAACCAAAACGTCTGTAAACTGACTAGAAAAACGCTAGAAATTGCACTAGAAACAGACCTAAAACTGCATCCAAAAGCACTCAAAACTTCACCATAAACCGCCATAAAAAAACGCAGCCTAAAACACACACAGAAGCAGCCTGAATATCGCCTAGAAAACGATCGGAATTCGCTTGAAAAACTGCCTGAAAACAGCCCCAAAAACTTGCCTCAAAATAGCCTGGAAGCAGCCCCAAATACCTGCCTCAAAATTTCCCGAAAACAACCTCAAAAACTCCTGAAAAACCTGCCTCAATGTCGCCAGAAATTGGAAAGAACCGACAACAATATGCCTGACTGAACCTTCGCCGGAGAAGCTGCCTTAAAGCCGCCTGAAAAACGACTACAAGACTGCACAAATGAAGCCCGATTCCACCTGATTTTCAACCAAAAACTGCACCAAAATAGCGTTGAAAGGATCTAAATTTCGCCTGATTTGATTGCACACCAACCAAGAACCCAGCCCCTAACCTAAATGCACCTGAAGCCGTTGGAAAGCTGCCTGAATTTGACGTGGAAGTCGTTGACGTCTCCTGCCCTAAGCGCCCTAATAGCCATTCAAGAACATTATTATTATTATTATTATTATTATTATTATTATTATTAATTTTAAAGTCGTCCACAAATAAAATTAAAAGTATTTTATAAAATAGGTAAAAGTTACTCTAAATTGTTTAATGTAGATTAATCTGTATTTAATAAGCAAGGGGGAGGTTATGGTATCCCTCGAAAATTAGCTCATCTTTTACTCAATTTCCATTAAACACTATTGGGTTGGGGCATTTTAGACGATTGATTATTTAAAAAAATAAAATTATAATCAAGGAGAAAATAAAATTATTAACACTAAATTACATGCAAATCAATCAAAATTTAAAATGTTATAAACATTATTAGTAAAACACAAATAGTAATAAACGACAGAATTAAGTTGATAGTTATCAATCAAATTTAATTTCATAAACTATTAATACGTGACATTATATTAATAATTATAAAGTTAGATTTAATATTGTACAATTAATTTGTCAATCAATCAAATACATTGACATTAATTTCATAAATGGAAACTCCAATGGCAAGCTAATTGTCACATTTACTTTCATGTTATATAAGTTTTTAAGTTAATTGTCAGTTTACTATTTAAATTAACTCCAATTCTTGAATTAACTTTAATTTTTTATATATCATTTTATTTATTCTATTTTGGCAACTTTTAAAACAAAATAGCTGTTGGCAAGAATTACTCTTGGCGCATAGCGCCTATATGCTTCACAAACATATAGGATGACATTTTTGTGAATAATGAGAACATGAGAAAAAAACATTAGTGGAAAATGCGCCAAGTGGTAGGATTAGGTAACAAGTGTAAGATATTTTGGGGGAAATATTCAATGACATTGGATGGCAAAAAGTACCCCTAC